AAACCCTGTACAGGGTCGCTATGAGTCGGTTCCGACTCCACAGCACATAACAACAACAACAACATACACATGAACATTACCAGATGGAATACACAGGAATCAAATAGACTACATTTGATGATGAAGAAGCTCAGTACCATCAGCCAAAACAAGGCCAGGGTCAGCTATGGAACAGACCATATACAATTCTCATATGTAAGGTCAGGATGAAGCTGAAGAAAATTAAAAGAAGTCCACAAGAGTCAAAATATCCCACCTGAATTTAAAGACCATCTCAAGAATAGATTTTATGCATTAAATACCAATGATCGAAGATCAGAGGCATTCTGGGATGACAACAAGAACATCATCATACGTGGAGAAAGCAAAAGGTCACTAAGAAGACAAGAAAGTAATAAAAGGCCAAAGAGGATATCAGAAGAGACTCAGAAATTTGCTCTTGAACAAAGCAACCAATGCAAATAAAAGAAATGATGAAGTAAAAGAACTGAACAGAAAATTTCAAAGCACAACTTGAGAAAGTAAAGTATTAAAATGAAATGTTCAAAAATCTGGGATTAGTAAACCAAAAGGGAAGAATATACTCAGCATCCTCAAGCTGAAAGAACTGGAGAAAAAATTTAAACCTCGACTTGTAATATTGAAGGATTCTATGGGCAGAATAGGAGTCCCAGTGTGCTGTTATAGGATAATCACTGGACTGCTAACTGCAAGGCTGGTGGTTCAAACCCATCAGCTGCTCCTTGGAAACCCTATACAGAGTCACTATGAGTCGGAACCAACTTGATAGCACTTAACAACAACAATGATTGAATGATGCAGGAAGCATCAAAAAAAGATAGAAGGAATACACAGAGCCATTTATCAAAAAGAATTGATTGATGCTCAACCATTTCAAGAGGCAGCATATGATCAAGAACCAGTGGTATTAAAGGAAGAAGTCCAAGCAGCATTGAAGGCATTAGTGTAAAACAAGACTCCAGGAATTAGGAGCATACCAGTTGTCTTACTTCCTCTGGCCATCGTAGGTCCTTCACCAATATTGACCCATGTGACACTCCCTGTCATCCTGTGTTGTTGTTGGTAGTTGTCACTGAGTTAAGCTCTGATTCATGGTGATCCCATGCACAATGAGATTGGACTTTCTTTGTCTGAGTTTTGGAAACAGATTGCCAAGCCTTTCTTCCTTGTCTTAGTCTGGAAGCTCTGATAAAACCTGCTTAGCATCAAAGCAACACACAAATTTCCAGCTCATGAAGTGAACTGGCCGGAAATCAAACTGGGGTCTCTCACACGGTTGTTGTTAAGTGCCATCAAGTTGGTTCTGACTCTTTTTAGCCCTGTATAGGGTTTCCAAGGAGCATCTGGTGAGTTTGCACTGCTGACCTTGCAGTTCAAACTAACCATGCAGTCTAACGCATTAACCTGTAGCACCACACCAGGACTCTAGGTCTCCTACATGGAAGGTGAGAATTCTATGATGGAACCACACTGATTCTGAGGCATGTATTACTATTATCCCCACTTACAGGTGGTGAAGCTGAGGCTCAGCAGACTAGGTAGGAGCTGTGTGGGATATAATATGTCATTACCAGTCCCTGGAGGAGAGGACAACATGCTGGTAAAATAGAGGGTCATCAGAAAAAAGAGGAAGACCCTCCAATGAGATGGATTGACAGAGTGGCTTCAACAGTGGATTCAAACAGAGCAGTGACTAAGAGGGTGACTCAGGACGAGGCCATGTTTCGTTTTGTTATCCATGAGGTAGCAACCTCAGCTTTTACTTGTGTGTGTGATGGGGCTTCCAGCCTGGGACGTTAGCTTCCTGGTGCTCAGCCTGCTCCTTCTCCTCCTCCCCTGCTCCATGTCCTTGTTTTTTAGGGCCACAATTAGCGTTGTCATGGTTACTACACTCAGTTGTTAACAAGCCCCCCCTCCCCCAAAGGCTGGCATCAGGTGACCGCCCTGCTGCCCCAGTGATTGGCTGCCTTGTAGGAAAACAGGGCCTGGAAGCCATTTGAAAACCCGGCTGGGCCTGTGCAGTGTTGCCAGCAGCAGTTGGCCGGCTGTTGGCCCCTGGCAGCCCATTGTGTGGCAAACGACTGTTGGCCCATGACACGTGGCCCCATTGTCTTGGGGTCTCAGCACAATTGTTTCTGCTAGCCCCCCCGGCTGTCATCCCTTTAGCCTGCTCACAACTCATCTGGACAAGTGACATCCAGAAGCTGGGGGCTGCCATCTGTCCCCTTGGGCTGTGGAGACCACGGGGTGGGGCAGAGAGGCAGGGCCTGGTGGGCTACCCGCTGTGTGTGGGGGTGCCCAACCAGCCCCCAACCCTCCACAGTCACATGTCTGCCTGGGTCCAGGCCTGTTACACACCCCATGGGCAGCCTGCACCCCGCCTGCTCAATAACCTGCTGTAGCTCC